TTGCGTTTGTCTGGGTATTTACTTTGTAATCTGTGGTTTACATCTACTGTATTGTTTTGAGATGCCACTTTTTACCTCCGGTACGTGTGTTTACCGCGCACTTTGAATGGCTGCATCTGTACGTCTCCCTGTTTACTTGGGTTTTTGCTAAGTGATCCGGTTTTCTCCTGGAGTCCAAACTCATAAAGGTAGTTTAAGTGACCTCTGAGATCATGGCCATCAGAGATGAAATCAGAAACAATAGGCTTGGTCTTTAAAATCTTTAATCTTCACAGCCCCAACATGTTCTCTGAAGTGGTCTCCAAATCTCCTTCCTCTTTCCCTAATGTAGATGGCTGGGCATTTACTGCAAGAGATACACTAAATAAGGTTGCTAGAGGTACAAGATGTCATCTGAGTGATCCAGAATTGTCCTGAGGGGCCTTGAATAAGTGTGGTGCTAGATATGTACTTGCAGGTGATACAGCAAGCTCTGTTGCAAGAGAAAGTGCCCAATGAGGAAAGCTGCTGAGGGCGGTCAAGGGAGCTCTGAAAAAGAAGGTTACGCAGATTAGGTGATCATGATATAAGATGATGGGGTGGTCGGAATAGTCGTTAATAGCCCTGGGGATAGAAACTGTGTTGGGGTGGTAGGGAATTACCAAAGGAATGTGGTTGTTATGGCAGGAGTTCCTGATCGAGTTGGTGGTCCGAGGGATGTTTTTGGCTCGGGCAAGGGCCCTGTTGATAATACTGCTACGGTATCCTCTGTTGATGAACAAAGAGTACATTTTGAGGGATCGTCGCTGCAGAATCGTCGTAGCTGAAGGAACTGTGAAAAAGGGAGGGAGTTTTTAGTGTGTTTGGGGTGAAATGAGCTATACAACTCATTAAAGGAGATAGTTGTGTGAATCTGTGGGTTTGTATACAGTAACATTTGCTATTGTACAGTATATTTTCACTTCACAGAAACTGAGAAACTGTCTGTAGAGGTATTAAAGATAAACATTGTGGTAATGATTTGCAATGGTGTAATGTAACTAACCAGGAAAAGGAAAGTCATACAACCAGTTGACAAATCTTGGTTTAAAAGATTAAATATGGGTGCTGTGTAGACATTGAAATCACTTGAAACCCACTTTTGCAACAATTTGACATTTACCATTGAAATATCTTGGATCCACTTCACCATCATCATTAGTGGGATTTTTCTGGTGAATGGCAAAAACTATTTTATAATTTCTACACAATGCACATGCAACATTGCTTTCTGTGCAATCTGTGCATTTTGCTTGTATTGCATATATGTTACTGATTTAGAAATAACATTTACAACATCTTGCTCCTCACAACTAAACATTCCCTAAGCATTTATATTTGTTATAATTCAGATAATAATTGGTTCTGAAAGTGATCTGAGGATCTACAGTATGTTATTTTCTCACGTTCCATTGTTTTTTCTTCTCCCAGTTTATATTATATTTTATACTGTACTTGTGTGCATTGTAACAAACAAGAAATCTTTATGTTTTCAAATGTATCTTCAGGTGCAAACAGAAATCCAACGAAACTGGACAAGATGGTATGAAAATAGCTACGGGGACATACCAGCTGTGGTGAAAGGAAGTCAAATGGATACTCCATTTTAATCATCTAAGCATTTAGCATTAAAGGTATAATGTTATTGACTGTGGAATAGTCTCTCCCTATCCCTGAGTATTACATGTACAGTATATCAGTACTATATCCAAGAAATATTTAAAAATAAAATAAATCACAAATAGCTGTAAAATACTTGCTTTGAACATCATGGGTGCTCTGTTTTAAAGGGAGTTGAACACAGAATATCTTTCAAAAGTATTACATTTTACTTGATTCTTATTTAAATAACAAGAGAAAATAGTGTCAGAAATAAAAGATTGAACAGGTTGTATAATTGTAACCTGTTTTGAGTTTGAGGTATTTTGCTTTATATCATTATATAAAAGTCATTTGCCTTTGTAGCCTTGCCCATGTGCAATTGTGCATACACAAAAATGTAACATTTCTAAAAGTGCAATTACAGAAGGGGATAAATGTTCCAATAACATTTTCAAGTGGAAAGTGTTCACAAATCAGAATCTTCAAAATACTAGTGTTTTCCTGGCAAAGCTACTTACAGTACAACTGAAATATCATTTCTCAAAAATAAATATGAATTTAAATGATAAATTGAAGGTTGGGAAAAATTCACAAAATGCAAGCAGTTTGACATTTCAAAGTAATTTCATTAAGATGCAATTGAATTTCCAAAAATAAAAGAAATGAGGGAATATTTAAATTTAAGCTAGCTTTACCCTGGTCAGACAACTTTACTGCAGTCAGTGTCACAATCGCTAAACCCTGCTCTTAAGGCACTCCAACCCTTCCTTGTTTTCTCCCATTACCTGAACCTGTTCCCTATTTCGTTCCCCCTTAAAAGCCAGACGCAGACTTCACTCCTAGTTCCTCATGTAATCCCGTTTCATGAGAGCCAGGGGTCCAGCTGCGTCTGACTGCTTTTATTCCCTGGATGGATCTCCTGGCTTTGGACTCAACTCTTCTGTTTTGGATTCTCCGTTTGGACTTTGTCTTTGTTTGTTCACCCCGGACTCACTTCCCCAGGACACCTGCTCACCTTGGACACGCCCCCCTGTCTCCAAACCCTCTCCTGCATGACTTTTCCCCCATTGTATCTTCACAATTCCGGATCGTGTCGTCTGCATAGGGCCCGGAAAGAACTGTTCGTGACAGTCAGTTTGAAGAAAGGGCCAATAAAATGCTTGCTCAGTGATGCTTGCTGTGTGTGGTATTTACGAAGCAACACTACTCTTAGCAAAGGTGCGCTTAAAAACTATTTCATTTGGATTATAAATAGTTTCTGTTTCAAGGCATTTTAAATTCTTTTACTCTCCTTGAGCATAATCAAGATTGTTGGTCATGTGGTCCAGTGAGTGAAAGAACTGGTTTTCTTTACTCCTCCTAAGGTAGGATTCTCATGTTTGCTAGCAACATTGTAAGCAACAATGAGTTAGTTCCCCACTATAGGCTATATACGTGTGCCCTGAGTCACCAAATTCAGGGGGGAAAAAAATTGAAAGTTACAGATTCTTGGTGTGTAGACTGGAAATGTGTTAATGCTCCTCCAGTTTTGTACAGTAATTGCGTGTTATACAAAAATATTCACTCAAACCAATATGTAATCCACTTTTCAGAAAAAAAACTATACAGCCACATTAAAAAGGTAGCTAGGCATACATTTAATACATTTATATCATGTAACATACATTTGTAACATACATGCATATGATTATACCAGCCATATCACCCTGCAACTCACAACTGGCAACCCACAATACCTGGATGGGAGACCTCCTGGGAAAAACTAAGGTTGCTGCTGGAAGA